TGCTGGTAGTACGAGTGGACGGGACTTCCCGGTACTGCTAACAAGTGGTACTGGAGGCGACGTGGAGGGTGACTAGCGGCGGCGAGCAGCAGCCTCACGAGTAGCAGCGTGCTGGTGCGCACTTTGGATGGTGGCTCTAGCGAGTCCGTCGGGTTTGATCAGTCTGACGACGAGCTCTGCGACGGCAGGCACGGTGGGCGGCGTGACGGTGAGCACTGGTGGCAGCACGGGTGGCAACGGCGGGTCTGTGCTCTTGAAGGTTGGCACGGGCAGCTGCGGCGCTGGTGGGTCGATCTCGCTGCGATCTGGCGACACCCACACCGGTACGGGAACAGCAACTGGCACTGTGGGCGGATCCATTTCGCTGAGTGGAGGCAGCGGCATGACGAGTGGCGGGTCGATCTCGCTGCAGAGCGGCGCGGGTCTGAAGTCATCTAGCGGTGACATCTCGCTGACGACTCCGGACGCTGCGGTGACAAGCGGTGTGAGTGGCAGTCTGCGTCTGACGAGCGGTGCGAGTCGTGTGGGCGACAGTGGATTGGTGTCTGTGAGCACAGGGGTATCAACAGGCGGTCACGGCGGGTCGATCTCTTTGTCTGTGGGCGGTGGCGACACGTTGTCGGGTGGTGCTCTCTGGCTGACGGCGGGCGACACGACGGCTCCGACGTCCACGACGAGTGGGACGGGAGGCTCGGTGAGTGTGTTGAGTGGCCGCAGCGTGGGAAGCACGAGCGGCTCAATTTCGCTGAGTACGGCTACGGGCGGCACGTCTGGTCAATCTGGCGTGTTGAGCTTCAGTAGTGGTAGCGCGACTGCCGGGTCTTCCGGGAACCTACTGCTGAATAGTGGCGCGAGCACGGGCGGCAATGGCGGCTCCGTGTTGGTGAGCGTGGGCGAAGGCCATGTGGGCACTGGTGGTAAAGTGTCTATCACGGCCGGACTGAGTTCTTCGACGACGGCAGGGTCTACTGGTGGCTTGATCGAGCTGGTAGGTGGCCAAGGTGCGCTGACCGGTGGGTCTATCAGTGTGGGTAGCGGCGCTGCATCTGGCACGACCAGTACGAGCAAGACAAGTGGCGGCGTGTCCTTGTGGAGTGCTTCGTCTG